ACTTATTTAGTTTCATTTGAAAAATAGATTTTGTACATTCATCGACTTTAAGAAACCCATTTATTGACTCACTGTCTTCTTCGCTCAGTGAAGCATTTATTTTTGTGTCGGTTATATAATCATTAATAAATTGTGTGCCTGGTTCAGTGCTTGTATAAAGTTTTTCATAATATTTCTTTTTCTAAGTTAAGTATATCTGATTGATTCGTTATTTATTTCCCTTGTTCATTTTTTTAATTTAATAATTTTTTTGCTTACTTGTCTACATTTCTCTTAACCAAGAAAACAATTAGTATTATTTTCTCCTTTTCTATCCACTTTATTCTCGAGCGTATTTGTGCACCTTTTGTTTTAAAATTATAAAAGTTTTCTATTTTAGTTTCTAACTGTTTAATTTCATCATTTTCTGTCGTGTTTATTTTGCTATTTTCTTTTTTTCTTTTTCTTTGATGATTGCAATATTCGATCCAAATCATTTAATTCATTTTGTTTCCTTTTTGCCCTAATTTTACAATATAAGATTGTAGTTTCTCTTATGTCAATTTTAAATAAGTCACATAATTGGGATAGGTTCTCATTATGTTTACATTTCTCTAAATAGGAATCAATTAGATTATTTATCTTTTCTTTAAAGTTAGGTTCACTTAGTATACTATTATCTTTTTCAAAATAAGATATACCTTTATTTTTGTTATCTAAATAAACTTTTAATGAAATAGCTTGATTATCTGTACTGGATATCATGGCTGGTCCGATATCTTTAGACTCAATAAGTGTTCTAAGTTCTTCAATAATCAGGAAGAAGTCTATCCTACTTGCCTCAAGATCTTTGGTTTTTTCTTTTTCATGTGTATTGCTTTAAAGTAGGATGTAATATTCTCCATATATCTATTAACATTTTTGTTTCAATTAATGTATTCAAATTATTAGATTTTTTTTGCTTTTTACCAGTTATATTTTTATTTTTTCTGTCTTCGTTATTCATTATTTCGTTCAAATCCCCTCCTATTATTAAAATACCAAGCCTATGTTCTTTAATTATTGTATTTACTTTTTGAAAGAAAGTATTCCTTTTTTTCTTATCATTTGGTGCATACAAATTTATCAAAGAAAATATAGTATTGTTTATTTCTACGTTTACCAAAATTATACGACCATCTTGATCAGAACAAATGCCTATTATTCTAGGATTTTATGTTGTTTTAATAAAGATAACGACTCTTCTAGATTGAGATGTCCCAAAGCTATGGTATACATCTCCAAGAAATTCTTGTCTTATCTTATTTTCTATTTCTGGGACAAAATGGGTTTATTGTGCAAATAAGATATCAGGTTTTTTTTATACTTTATCCATGTGTAGAGCCTTTCTCGTTTTTCTTTTTGACCAAGTCCTTGGCTAGTTAAGGAGCAAATGTGTAAAATGTCTTTCATAAATTAGAGGTTATTAAGCTTAAAGCAGTTAAAAAATCTATTTGTCAACATTAGACGGTTATGCATTTTATTGATTAGTATTTGTATATGCAGGTTTTTAGAATTGAGAGATATATCTTTGTTCTTAAATGGAGTTATGAGCCTACATTTATATAACACAAAACAACCAAGTATGTACATGTATATAAAGTAATATACTCTAATGAAAAAAAGTAATGATACATATATTAACAGATACACAATCATACAATAAACAATACAAACACTATATACAATTGTACACAATACTGTGACATGTACATGTAACATTGATTATAAGATAATGACTCTTTTAATAGTAAACCATAAAAAAATCTCTGAAAGTTTTGAGATTGTATTTACAATAGTATCCACTATTTGAAAGATTCTCATATATGTGTTTACTACTTTTGTATTGATTTTGTCTAAGAATAGTATGTGTTTTAGCGTGACCTTCATGCCCTTGTGGGACTTTACCGTGTTTTTTTTTATTATATTATGTTGTTTTAAGTTACTTGTTAGTACATACTGTAGTAGACTTTTTAGTGGTTCAATAGAAAAATTTATCTCATTTAATTGTTTTCTATCATGCGTTGCATTACTATGACTAATTAATAAACATATTTTAATTTTTTTTCCAGACAATTGATCATCGTTGGAAATATTTGTGATGTCATTTAACAAGACCAAAGCAATACTTCCGTGCTGTTTGTTTACATTCTTGCAACAATGTTATGTCCCCTGACTGACAGTTGGATAACAATCCGTCAATTCTGAGGCGTTCTCTGAAAGATTTATGTATGATACATCCAGACTTCTCAAAAAATAAGTTGATTTGCCCGTCATCCGCGGAACAGGGAATGTCTTTGACCCTTACTTTGACATGATCTGGGCGTTCATTTGTTTGGTATCTATGAATTCTGGAATAGAAGTTTACTAGACGATCCCCTACAACTATGCCTGATATCATCAGCTTATTACTGTCGTCCTCACTTTTCGTATAAATGCACTATATGCCTCTAACTCTCTGTAGGCCTCTCAAGTGCGAAGAGGGTATGATTTGGCCTAGAATTTTATACAGCTGATGGTGTAGTAAAAAGTCTTTGTCGGAAGGTTTAGGACCGAACATGTCAGACTCGAGTAGAAATATAGGTTTCACGCTATTTAAATCATCATTTTTTTCCATTAGAAACAGCTTTTGAGTTTGTTTTGTTTACCCTATCACTGTCTGTGTCCAAAACAGATGACTTGGTCATTCCAAACTTTGAAATACCAATTTCTTGTAATTAAATGTTTACACTAAAGTTATTTTTCTTCGATTCGTGTAAGATCTGGAAACATATAATCTTCAATTGGTGTAGAATGTAGATTTTCATAAGAGCTCAGGAACTCCGTGGTGTCCGCTGGGCCGCTAAAATCATCAGGGGAGGACTTCGTGCTCACAAACATGATTTTCAAAGCCATAATTTGTATGTGCCTGCTAAAAAAACAGGAGTCTGTAATCCAGAGGATGTCACTGGTACCTCTTATTAATTATTGTAATATAAATCAGGCCGCAGTGTTTTCTCTTTTAATTTGTTTCATATTTTATCATCCCAGATCCTTTCATCAGTTTCATTACGGTTTGGGTTTCCTGATTGTTGAAGGCCTCACTTACATTTAATTGTTCTCCCTTGGTGTTTGTGGACAGTTATCTCATTTGCAATCCTCAAGTGTGCTCAATTCCCTTCATAACCTGGGACATTGGTGCAACAACACAACATAAGAACAACTGTAAAATCATTTGAAACGAGCTTTAAGCGTATGATTAGTAAAAAGCATACATGTTTAGTTTTTTATATTATTTGATACATAATTAAAGTAAAAGAAAGGTATATGTTTATCTCTTTCTTGAAGATATACTGCAAAAGGAGTAGGATACTGACTACCCTTTAAATTTCTGCCATTGTTATTTGCGGTTGATTGTTCTAGATGTCTTCCAAACATCCGTGTTATTCGCGGTTAATCGTCTTAAATGTCTTCCAAACACTCTAGTTGTTTGTGGCAAAATGTCCATTTTTTCTTCCATTTTTACTTCAAATACAATAGTGCAGCATTTTAAGGCGATCAATAATCTAGTCATTGTTTATGGTTAATTGTGGTTAACAGAAACTTTCGTATGGCACCAGAACTGATTTTGTTTATTTCAAAGGTAGTTATTTTATTGACAAATATCTTAAAATATATTTAGTTTTAGTGTAAAAAGCCTTCCTATCCAATCAGAAGTAAAATAGTACTGTGATTTGCATTTATTGATCGGATATTTTTCATACATATTGAGAATAAAACCTTATTGAGCATAAATCAAAAAGATTTATCGTGGGTCGACCTTGGCCGATAAGGACCAGTTAGATTATAGTCTGATCACAAAAGGCAGATGGTTCAAAATTATGGCTGTATGACTGCATGTTATAATTCTATATACCGACATTACAAACATGTTGAGTACATAAACTTGTATAAAAATAATCTTGCATGAGCATCTTTTAACGTGACTAATATCCAACTAGCAACAACTAGCAACAACAACGAAATTTAGTTTACAGAATTAACATCGGTCAAGTGCGTTTTCCACTTAAATATGTTAGTATATTTGTTGTTGACAAATCTTCTCCTGTATTAAGAGCTGTACTGGAACAAAGATATTCGCTCTCCGAAATGCCATCTTCATATTTCTTTAAGAAGTATTGCAAAGTTGACAAAGTGGGGATGCCTATATATATGCCACACATAGCTAAATGGACATCGTCTTACTTAGTATGTCTCCTATATCGCTGGACGAAAGAAGTCCAGGTAAATAACAATGGTAAAGTGTCGTTGCCATGTAGTATTGAAATTTGTTTATTTCTAAAGGTTTTTTGTTCACGTATATATGTCGTATTACTATTTATGTGTTGTGTTTTGTCTCTTTGATGTATCTCCCACTTTTCTTCGCAATTCAACTTACATAATAAGTTATATGAATAAAGGGAGATATGATGTATTAGATTATGAGACATCAACACTACAAAACAACAAAAAATGTGTAAATCAACCGTAATACTTTCAAAGTTATCAAGTTACTAAATATTTTTAAATGATACACATGCTTTAACATCGCATTTAACTTGATCTGCCATCAACCAAAACCAAGAGTTATACTTAAAAATTTTCTGATTCAATGTAGATAGTAGGAATAACTAAATCACAACGTATTCAGTGTATTTTACGAGAGATATTTCAACTACTCAAATTCAGAATTTGAACCTTTAACATTTCGGCATATATGACATGTTTTTTATTGAAATTATTGTATCTTGACATTTAGACCTCTTTGTCGAATCTTCCGAATGACTGGTATTTTGTATGTTAAAAAAATCAAGGACATTTCAAACACGGTAATGTTTAAGAAATATTATTTATCAATTCAGTTTTATGACGTAGCTACTTTAAATTCATGTCAAAATTTTACTAAAATAAATAAGGCTCATATTTACACCTAATATTTTTTTATAGATTACACACCAGTGAGATTTAAAATTTCATTAAATTCTTTCAGTGAATTTATTATGTGTGTTAAGTGAAGAATTTATTCATTTTACAAATCAGCAGTCTTACACAAAACTATGGTTTTCTCATATTAAGAAAGATATGTACTGTTTTCTTTTCGTAATATCAACATGAACTAGAGATTAATGGAATTATTTCTATCTGCCAAGAATCTTTTCTAAATTGAATAATTACTTTTAAACATGGATTTACGAATTACTATCGATATAAATCTGGGATTCTTTATTACAGTTTTGTGCATTTTTACTGCAAACGTTTCGTCGAATTTCGAAAGAGCAGTAAACAAATTTGTGAAAGCAGACTATTCAAACAGAAGTCTGAAAGAGGTTCCAAAAAATCTGCATGTAGACATTAACGAACTTATTCTTGACCAAAACGACATACAAGTAATCGAAAACGGCACCTTCAAGAATTTGAGTGTATTGTTTAAACTAACAATTAATAACAACAAATTAAATATTCTACAAATGAATGCGTTCGATGGATTGTTCTCATTACATGTTTTAGAAATGGCTGGTAATAATATAATGTTGTCAATGTTTACCCCCAAACTATTCAGCTTTATAGCGAATTTAACCGTGCTCGACGTCAGTAGAAATATGAATTTATCTGATCATGGAGTCTGGACAATTTATCCAGATGTAGCATTCGCAGAACTAAGAAAGTTGGAAAATTTTTCGATTGATCTTGCACCATTCCCAATTTTTGGAAAAGGATTTATGGAAATGGGAAAACTCCGCAAATTGGAATTTAACCATTGCCAGGTACGAGTAATGAATAACACCATGTTGAAAAATTTCAACTCTGGTGTTATATGTTTGTACTTGAGCAAATGTCGACATTTTGTAAAAGTAGAAACTGGTTTACTGGAACCTTTCCCAAATCTAAAAGTGTTAGATATATCAGAGACATACATGCATCCAATCCAAGCTTTCCAGCTTCTAAAACCTCTAGCAAATCGTACAATGGAAATGATCAACTTTCATCACGTGAATGATGAATCAATTATAAATGACAGAACTTACAGGTATGAAGTAAATGTAACAGCAGAAATGATGAAATACTTGAAAACAATTTGTGTACATGTTCTCGATGTTTCTAATAATAATATTATAGACTTTGAAAATGGATCACTTTTAACAATGGACAGACCCGAATGTCTTCGTGATATTTCATTGTCTAAAAATAGATTCTCATTGTTTAACGGACATCAACTTTACAATATAAAACAGTTTTTTGCGAGAACTAGAAATCTTTCGAGGTTTGATTATTCATTTATACCTTTAGGTTTCATTAATTACTCGCACCATTTAAATTACAATATCAGTAGTTTTCCACCTGAAAGAGTCATAACATTACCCTCTTCCATACAAGTCGTACAAATGAGTCATATTTTCCATACCGGTGAGCCAGTATTATGGGAAATACCGGAAAATACAAATATAAGTCGTTTCGATGTATCTTTTTGTCAAACTGTTGATCAGGCAAAGTTATTGAACGGTTCGGAAATAAATTATTTGGATGTAACAGGAATTGATTCGCGAGTAGTGTTCAACACATTGCATTTGCATCCATTGTCAAAACTCACAACACTGATAATGGAGCACACAAATCTATACATCACCAACAAAATGGAGGAGAATGTTTTTACATACGTTTTAGGAATAGAAAAACTTGACATTTCAAATAACTTTTTGTGGGAACTGCGTCAAAATGTCTTTGATAATATGACAAAATTAACGTATTTAAATTTATCAAATAATCTTTTCCGAACAATTCCATTTGCAGTCACAAAATTAACAAATCTCAAGGAACTGGACATGACAAACAACCTTCTTACCAATATAAATATCACCTTTCAAGATTTTTTAAAAGGTAAGGGACAAGATTTCAAGTTATATTTGGACAATAATGCGTTCGTTTGTGACTGTACAAACTCGGACTTCATTATTTGGCTTAATGATAAACCCGTTACGTTTGATGCTAATGGAACATACAAATGTATCCTTCAAAATTCTAATGAAAGTAATACACATCATGCTGCTTTATATTTCAATTATTTGTATGCAGGATGTAACAGCAAATTATGGCTTAAAGCAGTAATCGGATTGTTTGTGACATTTATTGGGATTTTCTTTCCTTTCACACTTATATACAGTTTTAGATGGAGAATTTCATTTTATTTATACAAACGTTTCAGAAATAACCTAGAAAAGGGTATTGCTGTAAATTTCAAGTATGATGTTTTTGTGTTCTATCCTGAAAATGACCTTCCATGGATAAAATACGTACTGATGCCAAAATTAGAAAGAAAATGGGGGCTTCAAATGTGTATACAACACAGAGATTTTACTGTAGGAAAACCTATAGCTGATGTTATTGCAGATAATATCGAACAGAGCAGACATATTATATTTCTTGTAACTTCTTCATTTAAACATGATACGTGGGGAGAATACGCAATCGAAAGGGCAAAATATCATCACTTTTCACAAAATTTACAGAAAATAATAGTTATAATAAAAGATTTAGAGACGGAAGAAATTCCACACGAATTAGCTGTGTTGTGGAAAGACATAGCTCTTATTGAATGGCCAATGAACGAAAAAGATCTTGAAAATACATGGAATAAACTCAAGCTGTGGTTGTTCCTAAATCAGCCTAACTGAAATATCAGGGATTTATTCTAACGCTAATTACATTCATGAAAAACCAATATGAAGTGTCCACTTTCTGGAGAAATGAAACACATTGTTCATTTTACTTCTTATATAATCTGTTTGAATGTTATTGTTTACTGATCTTTTTTTTTTAATTTAATAACTGGATATTTGCAACCTCAAAATGAAAGCTATAATACAAATATTTCTGACAATTCAGAAAGTGTATATCTATGGTTGCCGATTGTACAGAAAAAGACTGATTTAAACGTTCATGTATCGCATTTGTCATTACAACGTGTTTACTTTACTCAATCAATCATATTGTCATGACAATGTGTTTACTTTACTCAATCATTCGTTTTGTCATGACAATGTGTTTACTTAACTCAATCATTCATTTTTGCATGACAATGTGTTTACTTAACTCAGTCATTCATATTGCCATGTCAATGTGTTTACTTTACTCAATCATTCACATTGTCATACAATATGTAAACTTTACTCATGACAATGTGTTCACTTTACTCTATCATTCACATTGCCATACAATATCTTTACTTTACTCATGATAATGTGTTTACTTTACTCAATCATTCATATTGTCATGACAAAGTGTTTACTTTACTCAATCTTTCATATTATCATGACAATGGGTTTACTTTACTCAATCATTTATATTGTCGTGCCAATGTGTTTACTTTACTCAATCATGCATGTTGCCATGACAATGTGTTTACTTAACTCAATAATTCATATTGTCATGACATTTTTTTACCTTTAAAGTTACTCAATCATTCATATTGTCCTTAATATTCATTATATATTTGTCACTGGACATTTAGTAAGGAATTAGAAAATAAATTTTTCGTAAAAGTTCTTATCGTTGATTGATACAAATCAACTCGCAGAGAAACTTGTAAGCAATAATCATTTTATTCAACATTCATACAATATATGAAATAATCACTTCTAATAAAACACGCAAAAGTACAACTGTAGCAATAAATTGAAGGCAGTGAAATCGGTTGCAGATGTTTGCATTGAATAATCATGATATGACACCTTTATCACGATTGGTAACAACTGCTTCTGGAAGGAATTTTTGTGGCAGTTTATTATACTAGACAGAAAAAAAAGGTTTATCATTTATGCCACAAAACCACTACGACTATATGAAAACAACAACCGTAAAAGAACAAGGCTTGTATTGCTGTTCTTCATCTCAAAGCCATGCTGTATTAAGTTTGATAGACATTGCTTATCAGAATACTTTCGTAACCATCTTTAAATTATGCGGATTCTTACCTATCTTGCATTCCATCTTATTTTCATGCGAGTAACAAACCAATTGAACACGATATGTGCTTTCTGGTGTTCGTTACAAAAAACAAATGTTGAATAGTCAACAAATCGTCAGGATTTGACTCATCAATCAATGTGCATAATTCTTGATTTTCTTGCTATTTAAGTCAGAATCTCATCCTTTATGAGTGAGTTTGTCCACAAAACACATCAACAAACATTGCATAATATTTATTTCTTTTAAACAGATAGTTGGCAAAAATTTAATGATGTTACCAAAGTATGCATTTTGTCCAGAATTCTTTCCATGTCGGGTGCATTTCTTGTGCATGGTAATTAAAACAATCGTACAAGTAGTCTACGAATATCTTTTTGACTTGAAAACTATTTGTTCATCGAGATATAGGCAATTGTTCCGGTAATGGTCAAATATGAATAACTGTGCATATACCCCCGACTAAATAAAATACATGCCCTTTAATCAAGAGACAATACTGGGTACCCTTCTGTGACACAAATTGAAAAAGAATACAGAATATACATCTCTCATTATTCATTGTTATTTCAATGCAGAGAAAATCTATATACTGTATTACAAGTCGTTCTGTATGAAAAATGAGTAAAGAAATATTTACATTTTACTTCAAGGCTTTCTGTACGAAAAATGATTGAAAAAATAATTGTCCAACAATTATAAATCCAAGTGCCAATCATGATGCTTTTACGTGTCTTTGTATGAAATATCTGAATCAATAGCTAGGAAAGCAAGCGAACTTTCGATAATCAAAAGGGGCCTTAAATAATAGTAAGAAATAAGTTTTCCATAAGAGAGTTACAATTACTTTTTTAAGCCATGAAATTCATCCATTCGGAATTCGAAAATGGGAAAATCCATAAAAACTGATAAACACAAACGTTAGAATTTTTCAACTAACGGAACGAATGAAAAACCATTCTCATATTCCTGACTTGTACAGGCATTTTTCGAAGAAAAGTGATTAAACCTTATTGCATAGCTAGCTAGAACTTACACTTGTATGACAGTTGTTTATAATTCCGTTACATTGACAAACTTAGGGCCGCAACCCTAATAGACATAATATGTTAAAGTGACAATGGGATCCAGCAGCCAAAATTGTGTAGACATACATCACGACATACAACACAGCTGATTAAAAATTTCAAACAAACATACAAATAAATCTAACAAAGAACGTACACTTCTGGGCGAAAGATAGAATTTGAACTGTTACTGTTTTAGGCTTTTTAAAGGGGATTAATCGTCTGGTTTTAGCTAGAAATTAGTCTTATTGTGGTAAATTTGCTAAAACGTATACCGAATAACCCAACATCGTTCAAGGTACATAGCTTTATCCCTGAAGTACATGTTAAGCATCAAAATCAATATAAAAAATCAATGCAAGGGAGACTACTACAACAATACAATGAAATGTAGACAACAGTTGTCTCTCTTTATACTACTTATCTAATATATACTACACCTACGTTGTAAGATATGTTTGGAAAGAAATAAGTCGAATAATTTTCTTTTATAAGAACATGAAGTTTACCCTTGTAGCCATGCTATTTATTGATGGGAACACGTGAGAATCATCTGTAAAAGACCTACTATTAAGCGTGCATATTTGTTATTATGGTTGAAATCGGCAGAGCAGTTTCTTAGAAGATGACGGTGGTCTTCTATACAGTTTTAATGGGAAATAGGTGTCACCATTGCAATCATGTTTACTCCTCAATCAACGTTAAATGAGGATCACTTGTAGGGGGTTTCAAAACTTTCGAACCATAAGTTTCCGTTATAGTTTAATAGGAGAAGATTTTTTTCAGTCGGCCGTATCAATAATTTTGTTCCTTTGATCGATACCAAAATATGAACTGTATAAATGACCTTTAGTATTATTCCTGGTGGTGTAAATGGAAATTATGGACATGTAAATTGTCTAACGACGGTTGTACAAAAGATGAACGCAGAGTAGTCACACTTGCTCACATGGCTCTGTATCTTAGCAGCTAACAAAACAGCATACGTGTTGCTATGTTGACACTATGATTATAGACGAATGAAAAGAATACTAGGGTTGTAAATAAACTTCAACATCGTAATTTATTTAGTCGTTTTAACTGTTTTAATTCGGGCGTCACTGGTGAGTCTTCTTTAGACAAAACGCGCGTCTGGCTTACGCAATGTTAATCCTGGTATCTACGATGAGTGTATTTTCTTCATTTAAAAAAAACACACAATGATAAATCAGCTTTTCAAAAATGATATATATATATATTTAGATAAGGATAAAACAATAAACAATAAAATTACGATCGTTTCAACATCAGATACTTACTTTTTTATTGGTGAATATATTGTTGTTGTGTTTTCCTTTTGGTTTATATATCAAAGGTCATTGTTCCCACAAAATATATATAAACAGTAACTCTTAGTCTGGTATAATAATAAGATTAAGTATTATTTTAACTTCACCTTTCCTCCCTTTTCAAGGTTTAGTTCCACATATATACTATTATATGACATGTGTAATATTCAAAAATGAATCTTAAATGTTCTTATAATTCTAGTCTCAAGTTTGTATTCATCATTATTAGTGGAAACAACAGTACCTTGTGAATTGTTTTGCTTTTTCTTTTTTCGTACGGAAATTGCCTCATGTGATTGTACACTTCGATAGTGAAGTTCACTAGAATATTTCATCTACAACGAAAGGTCATTCACGCATAGAATTTTATTGTGCATGGACAGCCATGTACTATGAAAAATAAAAGGGAAAATATTGATTTTGCATTAGACGAGAAGGACTGAGTATGTTCTTAGTAACAGTTGGTCAATATGCGAAATGTTTTTTCACCGAGCACTTTATTTCGGTAGTATATACCTTTCCATTGTCTGTCCAAATTTGAAAATATTCTATCAAATCACATTTTTATTTTTCTAACTAAGGATTGTCTAACCCAGGAAAAGATTATCTTTGATTTTGGGTCCTCAATGCTCTTCAACTTCGTAATTTGTTTTGCCATTTAAACTTTTTTTATTTGAGCGTCACTGATGAGTCTTTTGTAGACGAAACGCACGTCTGGCGTACACAAATTTTAATCTTGGAATCTATGAAGATTGTAATTAATGGAAAGTCACTTTTACAAAAGAAACTTGCGTGAATAACAAAATAAACCAAATGACTTCAATTGTTTCAATTCACAGTGCACTTCTTATAATTAACTTAATTGTCCTTAATTTGATACATTTAAGAAATAATCAACATAAATTGTTATTGTTATCGTCAGATTTAATTGCATTTGAATACACGACCACCAATCGCATTAAATCATACTAATATGGTATGCATACAAACGCGTTGCTTCAACTTCCTGATATGAAGAGTAGGGTAATCATTTTTTTAAACTTCGCAATGTAAGTCATCATTTGACGTTATGAGTTTTGCATTTTTCTAAAAATAAGAAAATGTTATATGATTCCTTTTTTCACAGTGATTTTCATATACCTAATTATCACTATTTTTGGTTTTTAAAAAACAAGATGATTTCATTTAAAAACGAAAGAATATGGTTGTTGTAAATACCCAAGTCTCAGTGCAATTCCATCTTATTATTCTGTTCAGATTTCATGTTACTTGTTATACAGATAAGTATGAACTATGAAGCTTTCTGAAAGGAAATTTAAGCAATTTAATTGGACGAGTTGTAAATATAAAGATAAAGATTATGATGGAGGTCAATTTGTTTTAACTGTTTTTAATGAATTTGATTACTTTCATCGTGAATTGAAGCACTGCGATAATGTTTGAAGCAAATGCGCCACGTATGTATCTATTTTTTTTAAATAATTATGGCTCTCGTTTAACTGTGAAAAAAAAAAAATGTTTTCTTAACATATAGGCTTATGATTGATTTATTTATAGTTAATTTGTTAATGCCTATAAAAAAAGTAAAATCACAAAAATACTGAACTCCGAGGAAAATTCAAAACGGAATGTCCCTAATCAAATGGCAAAATCAAATGATAAAACACATCAAACGAATGGACAACAACTGTCATATTCCTGACTTGGTACAGGCATTTTCAAATGTAGAAAATTGTGAATTGACCCTGGTTTAATAGCGCTAAACCTCTCACTTGTATGACAGTCCCATCAAATTCCGTTATATTTACAACGATGCGTGAACAAAACAGACATAATAGGTAAAATAGTCACAATATGGGTACAGCAGTCATCACTGTGTAACAATCTCAAAACAAACAAATATTTAACAAAAAAGCACAGAAAAGTAAAATCACAAAATTACTGAACTCCGAGGATGTCACAATTCTATCTATCGGCCACATATATATATATATAGATATTTTTTTTAAATCCAAGCAGCTTTAGTTTTACTGTGAAATTAAAAATTGACTGCCACTAAGTTGTCCATGACTGTTTTTGGTCAATTAATTGTGTACTACTAACATTTAACCCATTTCTCTGACGTCAGTCTATTGTTCTTACAGTAGATTATTTTTCAAGAATCCACTGACCACTTCGTTAACT